TCATCTTCAGCTAAATGCTTGTTGCAAGTAAGACTTGAGGGAGTCTGGGACAGAGGAGGCAGAAACTTGGGTTGATATTTCTCTGGGGCAAATCCTGCTCCACATAATTCCGGTTCTGGATGTTGTTTAGCTTCTATTGTATCTAGATGCGGCAGTAATGGGCCAATGCCTCTGTTCCTTTTCATTGTCCAAATATATACAAACTCGTCTGTAGGAGAAATACTGCTGAAACAAGAGTTGGAGATTTTTCTTCTGGTCAACAGGGAAGGTTTCATCTTGCTGTCCATCTTTATTGACTGGTAAATTCTTTTACTTGAGTCTGTGTAAGAAATGTATTGAAATCAGATTTTTTCAAAAGGACTACAAAAAATGTTTAGAGAGTTAAAAATGACTATACTCGCTCCCTAGCCTAGGGGTCCTTCAAAACTGGCCAGTTAACTCCTTTTTGTAGTATTTATCGTTTGAATCATAATTCTTTCAGAATAGGTATTCAACTGGAATTATTTGACATCGATTCACACTGTAGTATCCTTGTTATTTTGCGAGACTTAAAAACGGAAAAAAACTCGACTAACATAAACCTAGCAAGTAACAATTATGCAACGAAACCATGACACTATCAAAGCACAGGCTATTTCCCTAGACAATATTACATGGTGGAATTTTCTTAGGAACTCGAATAGAAAAAACTCTGGCCAGTAAACGTGCAGAAAGGCCTCTAGTAGGGAACAACACCAGACAAACTTCACTGACCTGCATATGGTCTATACTCGAACTAGCACTGTAAAGGCCCGTTTACACTTGCGGATTTTTGCGAGCGATTCCGGCGGCGATCGTCGAGCGACCATCGCCTGAGTTTCAAACATGCTTGAAAATTGGCTAAAATTTCGCGGCGATTTTCCATTGCCGCAACAACCGTAGGGCAGTTTATACAAACGATTTTAGTTTCGCTATAACAAAGTGGCGATTATCGCGCTGAAAAAATCGCAAGTGTAAACGGGGAAACATCAAATAGAATAAGCTAGAAAATAGGACAAGCGAGTACACTTTCGTCGTCGCTCGAATCAACTGTATGGCCTGTCGATGTTCAACTTAGCTGGGACATCTGTTATAAGAGCTGTCGAAACTTCAAAAGCTTTTAGCTGTTGGGTGGCCCAGTTGTGAAGTGTTTACACCCGATTTCAAATGAGTGCGAACTCTCGAATTTTTTTTCGGACGCTAAACTTTCACTCGACCGTCATTCACTCGACCACTTGGTAACCTGGCACAGCTTGAAGCGGGTAAAATTATCCAAGTATAAAAACCATGGTTAATGTATGTCTGTGCGCTAAATTCCTACAGTTTGTGATCGCACTACAAAACGAACTTATTGTAAAAACTAGTTTCGGTTTACTTAACTTTCTCAGCTCACAATTACAACGAAATAGTTGAAAAATAGTTGAATGACGGTCGAGTGAAAGTTTAGCGTTCAAAAAAAATTCGAGAGTTCGCACTCATTTGAAATCGGGTGTAAGAGTGAATTTTTCATATGACAATTCAAATGGCTTAAACCGAACTTGAAACTCATAAAACCATGAAACTCATAAAACCTAGCTTGCTGCCGGTTTGAGCATCGCACTTTCTAAAATTCTCTTGAACTAGACATTGTTTTTGCGCCCCAAGAAAAGAAAGAAAGAAAGAAAAAGAAAGTAAATTTAAAATATCAGAAAGATAAAGAAAAAACTATTTTCGACACAAAATAAATTCACGTTACTTACGACAGTCGATCTCCCCATGCTCTGGAGCTGTTTGAAATACTTTCGAACTGATTGAAACGGGACTCTAATGAAAAACAGAATTTTTTCATCAATTGCCTGTCCCTATGCTTTTATGTTTGTTTTATTCCTCTATGATTGCTAAGGCCAGTTGATTCTTTTATATCATTGGTTATCAGGTACAGGATRCTTTGTTTATTTAATGACGTATTGGTTGCTAAGATACCCTTTTTTGCTTAATTTATGACGCGTTGGTTGCTATGTGTATGTTTGCTATTTCGCGTTATTTACCAAAGTCACGCTGCCTTGTATATTCTATGACGAATTGGTCGCTAAGTTCACTTTTATTATCTATATTATGACATTTTTGTTGCTATGTGTGTGGTTGCTAAGTGGAGTTTAGTGCGCGTTATTTGCCAAAGTCAGACTGATTTGAATATGCTATGACGAACTGGTTGCTAGGGTCTCTTTCATTGTTTATTTTATGACGTTCAATCTGCTGTTGATATTTGCTGTTTCTCTTGACGGCACAAGCTATTATTGTTCACTATTGGCCGATAACAGAACGAGCACGGGCCTGGGACTGAAATTTTTAAGAGTGATACAATCTTACAGAAATCTGTTGTCGATAGATAAAGCACATATAAATTAGCTAAATCTGAAAGTTTGAGCATAATTTAAGTTGTTAGAAATGGAAATGCAATTTTTCAAAAATTTCTAAAATCACAAAGAATGTATGTTTGTCTGGACTCTTTGGCTGGACACCATACATTTCTTTGTAATTTTGACATGGTTTGAATTTCCGTAACTTTATTGCGATAAGCTCAAACATCATGAAACTTAAGTAAGCCTTTTGTATGCTGTTCTCTCACATGGTGGAGTTATTCTCTCTGGAACCATTATTTAGTTAGATTCTGAAGTTCGGACCCATTCCCTTTTTCGCTTTGTTATCAGCCAATTGTGTTCCTGAAAGATTAAGCTCAAAGTCCTTACTTACCTGTACCATCCTTATTTTGATGTGCTTTGGGCTCATCTCAGAACTCCTCGCCTGTCTCGGGGCTTTCCGTRCATTGCTTTTGGAACTGTGTACCACACTCTCTACCCAAATGRCGCCTCTAACAGCATAATGCAGGAATATCTGACTACCTCACTCACGACCATCGAGGGTTTGTACCCTGGATATGGCATTATWGTGTTATAAAACAACATTATCAAATTAATATTCATGAACGTTTTTAGTAAGTCATTCCCTATGTTACCGTTAAGTTCCATCTGCTTTCTTGTATTAATACAACAAATACTTATTTTGGCATAATTTTGATTAGACATAAAATATGACATCCGTTTCGTACACATTACGTTTCTGTTAGCTGTTTTACGTCTCMTAGGATTCCAATACATTTATCTTGAATATAAGCTAGGTTACTACTTTATAGGTTTTCTACACTGCCTTGCTTAGAGTTATGTACCTTAACTAAGCCAAGTCTAGTTACAGCTTGTAACTCTTTAGTTGTCAATTCCATCTAATTCCTTTTATTAATTTCGAATATTCCATTAAGCTGTCTGATAAGAACCATACGTTTAAAACGACAGTATAACGAGACTGCAAGGCATCGTAACGCCCTTCGGTAGTTTAAAACCTTGTGGCATCGTTTTTCTAACTATCTTAGTTAGTTAGTTCTTTATTAAACCAATCTTCTGTCGTAGTTTCACCTTTAAATTCAACTTAAATCTATAATATCGGGGCATAGACTTTTCACTCTCAGCCTCGGCTGATCATCTTATCAGTAAATCAAACTTTAGTACGCCAAGCTTATATTCTATCCAACCGTATTGCAATACAGACTGTCAATTTGCTGTTATTTTACTATGTAAGATATTCACTAAAAAGGTAGATTCACTTTTTGTACAGGTTAGTTGGTAGCCAACTCAGCGTGTAAAACATCCTTTGAAGTTTAGCATTAAAAACATTTTGATCCAAGTACCGGCTCTATTGAAATAAGTCCAACAGTTACAATACCCTGTAACAATTGTGTCTGGAGACTTCAAGMATCTGAATATCACCTGCCTGCTGGGGCAGTTTAGACTAAAACAGCTTGTTCGATTGCCCACCCGTGGTGATAGAACTCTGAATCTCATCTTAACGAATAT